CGTATTTAATATTTTATCAGATAAAATTTAATTTTTCAGATTTACTAAAAAAAATTCAATTATTTAATTTCTCAATTAAAAGAAAACTTTACTCAAAGTAAAAAANATATATATATATATATTTGTGTATTTATATTATTTATGAGAAAAAAGTATATAGTTTAAACGTGTTTAAACTATACAGATTGTCTTTTAACATGAACTATTGCTGGGATGAGCACTTTGATTCTATTTATATCTCGGAAGATGCTCCAGGAATTTGATAAAATTGCTCCTCCATCATTCTGCGGAAATATTTCCTAGCCATCTTCTCTAAAGATTCTTTCGATTGGATAGAGTTGATTCCAATTTTTCTGTTCAACAAATTCGAATACGCTAGTTTAAATGAGGTGACAAAATTACGAAAAAATTATTTTTCATACGATTTAAAATAGACTTTTATATAATAATTTCTAGTTATATATTTATTAACTCGTTGCATTATTTTTTAAGAACTTTTTTACTTTTATTTTTAAGAAAATATATAGAAATTTTTGATAGGAAAAAATATATATATATTTATACAGTCGAACCTTTAACAAATGCCACCTCATTTTTTTCAGGAACCTTTTTTTTAACAGAAATTTATACAAAATAATCTCCTATAATATATAAAATGTATGTTAACAATACAATAATTCCGAATTATAATCGATATAAATGGTTGTCGTTAGTTCACTGTATTGTTTTTCCTTAAATGAATAAGAAAATGTAGTGAATTTGTTTAAAATATATAGAAATTTTTATAGAAAAATATAGCATATATTATGTAAAATATATATTTATTAATGTAATTATTTCGAAGTATAATAGGTATAAGTTACATTTATTAACTTGCTACATCATTTTTTCTTTCTTAAATTAATAAGATAATGTAGCGAATTTTTTCGAGTTTTTAAGGAAAATATATAGAAATTTTTACAGGAAAATATTATATAATGCTGTAAAAAAGTAGATAAAAATAAAACAAAAGCTTGTAAAAAAAATGCTGTTTTTGATATTCATAAACGAAGTTGACATTTTTGTAAAGTGGATTTTGACAAAATGAATTTTATTTAGTAGAGCTTTTAAAAGAATCTTTCAAAATTCAATTTATCCATTTACGATGCATTAAAATCATTTTATTATTGTTATTAATTCACGTTCGTCTTTTATAATTGTGGTAATATTCGAGTTTAATTTTAAATTTTGGTCGGGGACATATGGTGTAAGGGTAGATTTTGTCACGCTATATATATAAATCCTGGATTAAAAAAAAAAAAAAAAAACTAGAGTTATCCCTCATTTTAGTGCTCTTCCTGACATCAGAAGGTCAGATCTACACCTTCCAACCTTCTAAGCTGTCAACTGGATTCTCAACTCAACTGTAAATCGACTCGAGATACATTTCATGCCTCGGGACTTGTATCCCATAAAAATATGCAGCACAAAATGTAGACCAACCTACATATATGTATACATATATTTAAATAATTTATTATAAAATTTATTTCTTATCTCTATCATAAAAGGCTCAAAGACTTTATCTAATAATTGATATATGCTACTTGTATATCTACGGTTCTAATGTATGTAGGTATATAAAAATGTAATTATGTAATATTTTAAATTAATGACGCAATTAATATAAATTTAAATTTAAAATTAGATCATTTTATTTATAACTGTCAACACGAAACTAACAACCTAAGTGGATAAATTGAAAAGGATTGACATGGTGACTCCTCCTCTTCAATCTATCACGTGATGAAATGGGCTGGATGAAGGGGGAAAAGTTCTTTTAGACTTTGTACAAGATATTTTTCAGCTTAATACTTTTTGGATATTTATTTGTTATACTCTTTAAGAAATAAATAAGGTGGGTAGGATATTATATATTTGTTTTTATAATAGTATTTTTCTGTATCTTCTGTAGAGATATCTTTATATTATTATCAGGTGTAGTACTGATTTTAGGATGTGTAATAAAAATTTCGAATTGTTTAAAAATTCGATTAAGTGGCTAATTAATCACGATTTTCCAACGATTAAATTTTTTTACTTAGTTTTTTTATTTTTTTGCGTGATTGCTTCTCCTATTAACACAGATTATATCTCATTTATAACATCTGTTCTCTTATTCTGTGGATAATTTCAGAGTTTTCCCCTCTTTAAATTGTTGTAAAATTATTAAATTGGAGTCTAGATGTATTATGGATGCCTTAAGCGATAAATAATATGAAGTTGATTAAATGTTCCTTATCTTCGTTTCGTATTGAGATGTCGTTGTATGTTTTCACAACATTTTCTTCATTTTTATCTCGTCCCCCTTCCAGCTCTTCCTCCCCCTCTTTCCCTATTTCTCAACAGGTAATAAGTGTGACTTGTTCTTGGAATTTAATGTATTTTTAAACCATATTTTATATAGAAATTAATGTATTTTATAGATTTTAAGCAGTCTTATTATATAAATATAATTTTTATGGCGAAGAATTTTTCCTCCTACCTGACAGACGTGCTCATTATTTTAATACACGCACAAGAAAAGAAGGAAAAAAAATGTAATTTTCCTTGACCTAAATGTAAAGGCTAACGTGGTCAAACAAATAAGTAAAAAAAAAAAAACAAAAACAAAAACAAAATAATCATTTGTATTCGCTTCATTATACAAAATATTATCATCAAAAATACTTTTTAATTCATAAAATTTATTTGATATTTAAAAAATTCTTCATTAGTTATATTTATAACAAAAATAAGTAAAGTTTTAATATAATTTTTGTACTGATTATAATGTAATTGGATAGTTTTATCTTTAGAAAAATATCAAAAAAATTGAAAATTATTAATGTACAGTACACATATTAAAAAATAAGCAAAAATAGCTTTAAATTAGAAAAAATCATTTAATAAATTTAAAAATAGCTTTAAAAATGTTTTCATTCCTTCAACTTGTTTACAAATATATATTGGTATAACAAAATATAATAGATAAAATGTAAAAATAGTCATTATAATGCTGAATTCCGTTTCTATGGTTTCTTAAATATCTATAGAATTAATAAAAACGAAATAAAAAATCAATTATCAATTTAAAAAAAGCTGAAAAAGATTATACATTCGTATCATATTACTTCGAAGGTATAAGTTTAAAGGTAAGAAAAGTCGTCGAGTTACATAAAAAAAGGTTAAAAGTTCACGTTGACATTTTGCCTTGAGGTAAAAAAATCGTTTTAAAGATTAACTTATATTAAAAATAAATTCAAGTATGTAATATTTTNAAAATATTGTATTTAAGTTTATATTACAAATAAATTTCAATGAACAGTTTTTATTCTAACTTTTCACCGAAAGTTCATCTATTTTGCTGTTCTCATAATATACAGTATTTAGAGTGTGGATATAAACATTACACCAGGCGACATCTCGCTGCTACGTAATAACTAAATGTACTAGAATACAGGTAATTGGTAGTAGACTATTCGCTATTTATCTCGGACATTATTGAAGATTACGACTTTAAAGTTTGTCCGATTAAAATATTCAAAAGGGGAAGCTGGCTGGGCACAGCAAAAATAAATAAACGGTACCGAAACCGTGAGGCTTTTCTGCAAGCCTCACACTGTTTCAAACAGTGTGAGGCTTGCAGAAACCGACCGGTTTCAGATTATTTGACGGTATTTTAACCGGACTAATATATTTTTGCATTACGATTTTTGCAAATTAAACTGTCTTTCTTTCATAAAAACCGAGATAAGATTTACCTTCAAGCTAAAAGTGGTTTGAAGAGTCAATGGCAGTGATTTTCAACCGGTGTGCCATGAGAAGATCATAGGTATGCGGCGAAAATTTCTGAAGGTTATTAAATAAATTATTTTCGAAAGAAGACCAAAGAACAATAAGTGTACTGTACATGTCAAAATTAAAACCTCTTTAAATTGATTATACGAGTTTTTCATTGTTATAATAAATAAACGTATACGTAATTTGTAAAAAGTATATATTCATAAGCAAAATTATATGTGCATAACACTGGATTATTTCATTTAAAATGAAATTTTCTTTAAATAAAAAATGTATCTATAGGTCTAATTGTCCATATTTAGTTCAAATTATTTTAACTTAGAAATAACGGGACTTTGAGCAGGTTTCTAAAGGCAATTATCATGCCACTTTTAAATGCAAATTAAGACTTAATGTTAATTGCTTTTCTTATGTAAATAAAAATTATTAATTTAAATAACCATTGCTGTAGCCTGCTTCTATTTTAAGGAACAACGATACTGTTTTATTTAATTTACAAAAAATTAGACAAAAATAATTAGGTTAATAAATAAACTTCCGCGGAAAATCACGTGATTTAAAGTTATTTGTAAACAAATAACTTTAAATCACGTGATTTTTTCCGCGGAAATTTATCGATTCAAATGTGCCGTAAGATTAAAAACAGTTGAAAAACACTGGTCAATGGTGTTCAAATCAACACACAGCTCATTACCGATTACCTATATTCCAGTGCAATTGCATTTAGTTATTAAGATGCAGAGGAGAGATATGGCCTGGCGCAATGTTTGTCTATATCCTGTATATTAATATAATCATCATAATTGTAATAAATAGTTTTAAAATTTATCATTATTAATTTCAGCAAATTCAATTCCGAAATAAATTTCAGGCGTAAAAATTACAAATTTTTCCAAAGTTAAAAAGAAAAGCTTAAATTGTATTTAGAAATATAGAAGTATATTTCAAAATAAATGTTATATTTCGGATTATAAGTGATTTTTTTTTAAAGAGAGTTGATATAATCCGGATTTTCCAGTCTAAATAAACTTCTACTTTCCTCTTTTGATTAGTTCTGTTGTCATCTTTCATATCACGATAAGTCTAAATAAAATTTTCAATAATCTAAAATATAATCTGACAAATTTTGTAAAGAATTTCATTTTAATTAAAATAACATTTAAAAAAATCATCTTTTATAGCTAGGTTTGTCAAAATGCGCTAATACAAAGATAGGAATTCCTGGCAGAATTAAAGGTATATCAGGAGGAGAAATGAAGAGATTATCCTTTGCTTCTGAGGTAAAATTATATCGATTTTTATTATAAATAGTCAGAAAAATATTTTTTATATGGTTCTTACTTTGGATATTCACTTCTTGCTGCAGATATTAACCAATCCATCATTGCTATTCTGCGACGAACCAACTTCTGGTTTAGATACCTTCATGGCATTGAGTATTATCAGTATCCTAAGAGAAATGGCTGCTGCAGGATGCACTATCGTATGTAGCATACATCAACCATCATCGGAAGTATATGCACTTTTCGATCAAGTATTATTCCTAGCTAACGGACAGGTCGCATTTATGGGTAGTGCTTCTAGGGCTTTAGATTTCTTTTCAGAGTAAGTTCATTTAATTCTTCATAATCTGTAATATTCCCTTGCATTGTAAATAAAGAAAAATGTTAAATAGATAGTAAATAGAAGAAAATTTGAAATTTAGAATGTTTAATATACATTTTCTCTTTGTAAATGAGGTCGTATGTTGTGCAAACATTGAAAATGAGCTCTTCAACTTTCAATGTGTTGATTATTCAAAATATGTTTGTTTTGAACTTTCAGAGTCACTATTGGATTATTTTGTTTGATATTCTGTATAGAAAAGTGTTGAATGACACAAAAGATTTTTAAATTTTCAAAAAAAGCTACTAGATGTATTTTTTTAATATATATAATTTAAGGTTGAAACATCGCTACTTATAAAAACAACTTAACTAGCTTAATTTAAATTCTTGTAAAAATGAAACGTTTCCTTTAAAAATTTCAACTAATTTAAGATCTAATGAAGTATAAAAGTTTTACAGTAATTATTAATTTAAAATTAATCTTATTTTTTAAACTAAAAAGATTTATCTAATATACATCGTACGAAAAAGAAATATGCACTCCAGAACAAATATTTTACTATAAAATTTCATTAATTTTACAAAAGGAAATTGCAACTATCAAGATTCTTCCTCTAATCATTACAGAAGAAAAAAAAATCACAATATCAATTACTATTTGCTATAGAAGACAAAAATCTTATAAATTATACAAAGGAGAATTCATTTAATCAATTAAATTTTAGAATAAAGTTTTGTATTATTTGTCCAAAATTAATTTTTGACAGTAAATCCTCTTTACTTTATATCCGGATACGACGAACACAAAACGTAATCCATGTTAAAAATGTATAGAATCTTAAAGGTTTCATTGAATTATCACAAAATTCAGTTGGCGTATTTAGATTCCACAATCGAATGCATAACACGAATAAAATCTAATTAAAATGATATTTAAAAATGGAGAATTGAGGAAATTATTAATTAAAAGTTGGCATTATTACTAATCAAAATCGGAATTAATATATTCTTTTAGTATTTTATCTTTGTTGAGTGGTTTTTATAGCATAAAGTTATCATTTAATGTGTTTTAGTAGAGCTTGAGAGAGATAGAATGGGGTCTTGAATCAGTAACAAATGTGATGTTCGCTCCCCTCCTGTACTATAAAAATGTATAAATAAAGCCAATAAAACAAAGAAAAACAAACATTTTATTTTCGTAAAGTATTTTTTTACACAAGTTTACTAAATTTTGGTGTTTATCTGTGTCCGGAATCTGAGCCAAATTGCCTCGTTGATGCCTCGCTCTGTCTGGCCTACGTTCTGATATTAGTACAGAAAATAGCTTAGATATAATTATTCAGGAGAGTTTTAATTCTACATAGAATTTCCGGTCTTTCCTAGAGATTCCTTCGTAGAAGATAGAAATATATTATTAAAAAATTGTATGATACAATTATTTATCGTTTAAAATAAAAAAAATGATATAAATAATAAATTATACTATTTTAAAAATGATTATAAAAATTAGTGAAGAAAAATTATCAGCAAAATTTTAAATAAATTTACATCAGATGTTTAGGATTTACAAAAATAGAAGCAATTCACCCGAGGCCAAATTTGTGAGTTTATCTACTTCATTTGTTAAACCTACTTTAAAAAATTTCAAATAAAATCAATATTTTTTGTAGTAAAGACTTAAATAATATATAGATTTTTATATTTTTTAATTAAGAATCAGATAGAATTTCTCCTCCATTCGTTAAACACAGACTAAAGCGATTATCATAGAATATTAAAAATTATTTACAAAGGATTTTTTTCTGGTAATTTAATCATTTTTGGAAATAATTTATATACCTTTATACGTAAGAGCACGAGGATATTCTACTTCCAAAGTTAATCAAAAATATTCATTATTTTGGATAGAGTTAAATTGGCTGTTGACCAAACCAACGAGATAATGCATCGCAATGGTTTCCACTCGATAATTTATATATTTTTTTAAAATATAAATATTCAATTTAATGATCATTTAAAGTCCACGTTAACGAGAATTTATTATAATTAAGTTAATCGTTAAATTACTTATTATATTTGTTGTATATTTTCTTGAAACACCTTTATTATAAAGCTTAAAACTTTCCAACTTTGATAAGTTTTATAGTAAAAAATAATATAAAATTATATTATTTTTACTATATTTTTTATATTGAATATACATAAAATAATGAAAATTTGAAAAATATAATTGAATTTTTTATTAATGACTTAAATATATTATAAATAGATTCTACTGTAGTTTAAAGTAATAAATTGCGATCCTTATACTATTATATTTTTATGTTGTAGGCATATTTAATAGGATATTGTAATTCTTATCGTCGCTCTATTAAACAAACCTAGTAAGCTTTTATATAGCGATAATGTAATTCTCAGTTTATATTATTAAAATATATCCTTTCTAATTCTTCTGTTTACACTATATTGATATACGTAACATATAATCTCTTTTAATAAATCTATTGTATCGAACGGTAATTTAAAAATACGCAGGATGGCGCAAAAAACAATTAACCGTTGTAAAGCTTAAATTGCAATTCATTTAATTTTGTTTTTACCACGTTTCCAACAATTCTTTAAAAGGAAAATCTGTTATTTCAAGCTCTGTTTACGATTTGTATTCACAAACATACTACACGGTTAACTAAATTTTGCGCTATGTTATAATGATTTTAATATTAAAGTTTTACAGTTTCTTATTATAAAAAAGTGTTTTATTAATAGTTTAGGGTTACAATGTCCAACAAATTTTAATCCAGCAGACTTTTTTATAAGCGAACTTTCAATTTTACCTGATCAAGAAGAATATAGCAAAAGGAGAATTCAAGTGAGTTTAAATTAATAAAATTTTCGTTATCATCAATATATATATTTATAAAAATGTAAATTCAATCTTTGACGTTTTATTTTGATAAAGCAAATCTGTGAATCGTATGCAAATATACGAAATCGTTCTTTGACAAACGGAGAAGTTATTAAAGAAAGCGCAGAAAAGGTTTGCAAATTTAATCATCATTTTTTTTTATTTTGATAGAGAAAATGTATCTTAATATTTTATTAATAATCTAATTTAAAGTTATAATATATTTTTTCCTCTCAATTTTTATTTAATAGATAAAGAATGTAACAAAAAACTGCATGTAAGTAAATCTTGCACACTTTTTTCTTGTCTATTAATATACATAAAATAGAGCTGTATATAGTTAAATATTTTCTTGTCAAAGGTACAAAGCATCTTGGTGGGTTCAGTTCTATGTCATCATATGGAGATCTTTCTTAAGTATAAGACGTAATCCGATTCTCACAACAATGCGATTTGTTCAGACAATAGTAAGTAGCTTACCATTCGAAAAAAGTATCTAAGATTTATATTAGAAAAGAACATAACTATAGAAACCAAAAAGTAGAAAGCTGTAGCATTCGGCAACCTTTTAAAGGTTTTTTTTAAAAAAATTAATTAATTTAATTAAATTTTCTAGTATTACAAAACAGAATTAAGGATTATTTTCTGCCTCTCATTTTTTCCCCTCTCTCTCTCGCTCTCTCTCTTTAAGGAAATTAATTAATAAAAACTAATTTGCATCTTTAATTTTGAAAACATTTAATCCCCGAAAAATCTCTTTTGACGAATTAACGTAATTAATAGCAATTATAACATAATTTAGCTGCTTAATGACAATATTCTAGTTAAGAGATTAGAGTTAAATTTGTTTGCTAAATTGATTTGTGAGACTACATATAATAGTAATTAATATAATCTTGATTTTTTTTTCTCCTTTTATTTTGAAGAGGGGTGGATTAAAATTCTGTCATTTGTTTATTTTTATTCCACAGAAAAAAATGTTTCAAATTTATTATTATTTGTAAGATAACTAGCTATTAATTAATTTATGANATTGCGATTTTTATACTATTATATTTTTATGTTGTAGGCATATTTAATAGGATATTGTAATTCTTATCGTCGCTCTATTAAACAAACCTAGTAAGCTTTTATATAGCGATAATGTAATTCTCAGTTTATATTATTAAAATATATCCTTTCTAATTCTTCTGTTTACACTATATTGATATACGTAACATATAATCTCTTTTAATAAATCTATTGTATCGAACGGTAATTTAAAAATACGCAGGATGGCGCAAAAAACAATTAACCGTTGTAAAGCTTAAATTGCAATTCATTTAATTTTGTTTTTACCACGTTTCCAACAATTCTTTAAAAGGAAAATCTGTTATTTCAAGCTCTGTTTACGATTTGTATTCACAAACATACTACACGGTTAACTAAATTTTGCGCTATGTTATAATGATTTTAATATTAAAGTTTTACAGTTTCTTATTATAAAAAAGTGTTTTATTAATAGTTTAGGGTTACAATGTCCAACAAATTTTAATCCAGCAGACTTTTTTATAAGCGAACTTTCAATTTTACCTGATCAAGAAGAATATAGCAAAAGGAGAATTCAAGTGAGTTTAAATTAATAAAATTTTCGTTATCATCAATATATATATTTATAAAAATGTAAATTCAATCTTTGACGTTTTATTTTGATAAAGCAAATCTGTGAATCGTATGCAAATATACGAAATCGTTCTTTGACAAACGGAGAAGTTATTAAAGAAAGCGCAGAAAAGGTTTGCAAATTTAATCATCATTTTTTTTTATTTTGATAGAGAAAATGTATCTTAATATTTTATTAATAATCTAATTTAAAGTTATAATATATTTTTTCCTCTCAATTTTTATTTAATAGATAAAGAATGTAACAAAAAACTGCATGTAAGTAAATCTTGCACACTTTTTTCTTGTCTATTAATATACATAAAATAGAGCTGTATATAGTTAAATATTTTCTTGTCAAAGGTACAAAGCATCTTGGTGGGTTCAGTTCTATGTCATCATATGGAGATCTTTCTTAAGTATAAGACGTAATCCGATTCTCACAACAATGCGATTTGTTCAGACAATAGTAAGTAGCTTACCATTCGAAAAAAGTATCTAAGATTTATATTAGAAAAGAACATAACTATAGAAACCAAAAAGTAGAAAGCTGTAGCATTCGGCAACCTTTTAAAGGTTTTTTTTAAAAAAATTAATTAATTTAATTAAATTTTCTAGTATTACAAAACAGAATTAAGGATTATTTTCTGCCTCTCATTTTTTCCCCTCTCTCTCTCGCTCTCTCTCTTTAAGGAAATTAATTAATAAAAACTAATTTGCATCTTTAATTTTGAAAACATTTAATCCCCGAAAAATCTCTTTTGACGAATTAACGTAATTAATAGCAATTATAACATAATTTAGCTGCTTAATGACAATATTCTAGTTAAGAGATTAGAGTTAAATTTGTTTGCTAAATTGATTTGTGAGACTACATATAATAGTAATTAATATAATCTTGATTTTTTTTTCTCCTTTTATTTTGAAGAGGGGTGGATTAAAATTCTGTCATTTGTTTATTTTTATTCCACAGAAAAAAATGTTTCAAATTTATTATTATTTGTAAGATAACTAGCTATTAATTAATTTATGAGTTATTAAATTTTTTCCTTTTATGTCTCGTGTATCGTACGATTTTTCGCTATAATTAATGTCAAACTCGACGTTTCGTTTAGTAGAACATCTGTTAATTTATCATAGAAACATTGTTTATTTTAACGTATAAGAAACATATTTTTCTCTTCCCCTTTTACCAGATCGTTGCTTTGATTTTGGGATTTATGTACTGGAAACAAACACTTGATCAAGACGGTATCATGAATATAAATGGCGTACTTTTTCTCCTGTTGACGAATGTGACCTTTCAAAATATGTTTGCTGTTATTAATGTAAGTAGATCTAGTGATCTATATTGATAAGACACTAAAGAAATGTTTTTACTCAAACGATAAATCATAAAGTCTCCTATATATTTTTGTTAATATCTAAAATTTCTGATGTTTTAATTATATTAAGGTCTTCTGCGCTGATATACCGGTCTTCTTGAGAGAACATTGGAATGGGATGTATCGTGTAGGGATCTACGTTATCTGCAAAATGTTAGCTGAGGTAAGTTAAGCCAAACTAAAACAAGAGAAGAGGGAGAGAGAAGGAAAAAAACTGATTCTCGAGTCTTGTTTTCTTAAGACTTCATTGACATTTTTTATTTTCTTTTCTGTAGCTTCCAACATTTATTGTTCTTCCTGCTTTGTTTACTTCAATTGTTTACTGGATGGTAGGTGAGTGTGTTTGTATATATAACTATATATTTATTTATTTTTTATTCTTATTAGATTAAGAGATTTGTCTTTACCGAATCAATTGTGTATAAAAAACAATCCAGATTGAAATCAATCGTTTTCTCCCCCTCCTTCTACAGTTTTTTTTCCCTTCTTCTTCTTGCTCCTTTCAATTTTGTTTCTTTAATTAGGTCTCCGAGCAGACGTCACTTCATTTTTTTTATGTGTTGGGATAGTGACTCTAGCATCGAATGCCGCCTGTTCCTTTGGTAAGTCTATCTTTATTATATTATCTACTGCAGAATGAAAAATTACATTACTTTTTACAGCAACTATTAGAATGATTCTTTTTGGAATACAATGAAGATAAATGGATGTTAATCATACTCTTTCTCGTCTTATATAGCAAAAAATAGCATCCTATTTTGGTAGATAAAAATGATATCTTTAACCTAAATTTGTCAAATTTTAAAGTAAAATATTAGACAAAAATGTGACATTTTAAGAATGAAAAATAAAGTCATTTTAACGTAGAATTTTATGTTAATTTTTAATAGTAATTAATAAAATTAATTTTTTCCCACCTTCTAAGGTTACATGATATCGAGTTGTAGCACTTCTATAAGTATGGCTCTATCTATCGGACCACCAATGATTATACCTCTCATGCTATTTGGAGGATTTTTATTGAATATAGAGTAAGAAATTATAATATTTTTATTAATTTATACATTATATACGTTTCTAAAAGGCATGTTTTACTTTTTAAGGACGATACCCATTTATTTTGACTGGGTAAAATATTTATCATGGTTCTACTATGGAAACGAAGCAATGAACATCATTCAATGGAGTGGAGTTGAATATATTGGTAAACAGAATATAAAATATTTTTATAAATAATTTAAAAAATAAAGAAAAATTATTAATATTTATAATACAAATAATTATGTGTTTTATATACATA